TTCCATCAAAGCGAGTGTCATGTCAACACAATCCTTCCCATTCCTTTCTTGATCTGTGTTCGGGCGCGGCCGGCGCTGGTATTGCCTAATTTAAGATCACCAGTTTTTACACATTGAGGATGATTGCTAGTCCCAAGCATTGTCTATTGGTTTTCTGTGTAATTACAGCTGATCTGGTAGTAACAGAGTAGCAACCGTGGGCGGTCAATCAAGCTCAAGCTCAAGCAAGCTCAAGCTCAAGCTCAAGCTTGAAGAGTAATAATGGTATGTCGATTCTGTCAAATGCTTTACTGAAGTCTGTGTAAAGAGCTTCTACGTGGTAACTTTTATCCATGGCATTCAGTGTAAAAGAGACAAACTCCAGAAGATTAGAGGCAGTGGAGCGGCCATTGAAGAAGCCATGCTGTTGACTTGTAATTTGGTTTTTTACTTGTTGGTAAATTGTGTCGTTTATAATAGATTAAAAAAGTTTTGAAATGCACGAAATGATGGCCATTTCACTGTAATTTCGGATGGATTTCTTGCAAAACAATAAAAACAACCACTTATGTTTCAAATCAGCCAAATTAATAAAATGCTTACATCCCGTTCACATTACAGCCTATACATATACTACCCAGCATAGGTATAGGTATGGTTCAGAAAGTATCGCAACATCCAAAATAATATTGCAGACAGCAAACCTTCCGGTTATAAAAACAAAATTTGAAGAAAAAACGACCGGAATATTATTTCAGGCAGGGTTGCTTCCACTCTTCTTCTTCTTCTTCATCGCATTTCAAGCTTATTGCGTATCGCATATTAGCTTATTGCGTGCTCTCAACTTAGTGTTCTGGGTGCACTCCCACAGTTATTAATTGAGAGCTTTCGATGCCTGTACCATTTTTGCATTAGTATAATTGTGTGGCAAGTACAATCATATTCTATATGCCCACCCTAATAAAAAATAACCATAAACGAACGATAACCCAAATCATTGAACTATTTCACAAATGGTTTGGATGATACCCAGAACACGTCGTTAAGCAAATTAACCATACAATTTTTATTAGGGCAGGGAAGTCGAGATATTTTCCAACCCGAAAAATTCCTAGACCGGACCGGGAATCGAACCCAGCCACCTCCAGCATGGTCTTGCTTTGTAGCCGTGCCTTTACCGACTGAGCTAAGGGAGGACCCACTGCAATGCCAAAAAATAACTTTTTACAGCAAGTGAGTGGAAGTAACCGTGATTTCAGGTAGAATAAGTGAACCACTTTTCGTGCTGGTGGCATAGTTTCAATGCCGTAGAGTATTGTCATAACGATGATATGATGACCTATCTGATGCTGGAAGCAGTACATGAACAGACTTTGCATCCATAATTCAATGATTAAAATCTTTTAAAGTACTGAAAACCAATTTAAAAAATTCATATATTTCAAAACATTTGTCTTGAATATTAGATCGTTTTATGCATTTCTGTTTCAACTCTTGTTTAAATTCAGAAGTAGAATTTTAATATGCGTTAATTTGAGGTTAAAAATTGTAATTTTGATGAAAACAAACGTTTGGTTGATGTTTCCTCTCATAATCGCCTAGCGCACTCTACAGGCGAATGTTTTATAGCTGGATTTGTTGCCTGTATCTCTTTTAATAAAAAAAGATATACTCAAATAAAGTAAAAAATATGAATAAATTCAAATTGATTTTATACGAGTTTAAAAAATAACATACCTCCATTTTATTCATATTATTGAGAATAACATACGCCCTTTCAAATGCTGCAAAAAAACTTTTTTTTTGTTTGCCCCAACCAGAGATATTAACATTTGAAAACTGCATATTTTTAGTATAAAAACTTCAATAACTCTTGATCGGCGAAAGATATTGACAAGCTTTGTGCAGCAAAAAATTGCACCTTCTTAAGATCTAAATGTTATCTGAAGACGCTTTTGCTGAGAAATTCGAAATAAGAAAACTAGAGCAAAAAAACTGTTTTTTTAAGAGCCACCCTAACTCAATTCAAGAAAATAGCTCTAAATCGGCCAATTTAAGAGATACAAAAAAGTTATATTGAACAAAGTTGCTTGAATTAGCTTAGCTATAACTTTGCCGAAGAATGTATACCTTAATTTATTCAAACAAAAAAGTTAGATTTTTGATTTTAATGATAATAGCTACCACCCTAGAATTCATTGTCATAAAAATGAGGGCCTAACTATAAGGAACAACTTTGTAGAAAAGACTTTTAGTCTAAAGTTTCAATTTCAGGCTCAAAACATATCATTCCACCTAAATCTGCATTCTGGACCACTGTGCATTGGTGGTGCATAGAAACAGTCTATTCACAACCACCTTTCCGGTACCGTCGTCAAACCGCACTTTTTTCATCCGTTTTTCAGCCTTTATTGATGTTTTCAATCACTCACGTCAAGCTCTGCCGGAATCTTTGGAGAAACAATAACGCATTTGCGCTGGCATCTTTCTCACGGAAGTGAGTGTATAAACAGACAAGTAGTGAATTGTCAATTCTCTCACTCTCTCGTGCTGTGTCTAACAATCTCTCCAGTGGTGCCAGGAAAAATCTCTGAGGAGGCAAGCAGAGATTCACCCTATAGAATGATGTCTCTCGCACACGGGTGATTATCCCTATTTCAATATATCTCAGATGGCGTAGCGGTTTGTGTTGGGGATCTCACGCAGAAGGACTGGGGTTAATTCTTCAAACAGCGCTGATACTAGAATTCAGAATGCTCTTCAATTATGGTATGGAAACTTTCAAGTTTTTATAACGACTTAAAAATGAGGCTGCTTAGAATTCTATATATCACCTTCAATCAAGCTACTTAAGTCTCAAATAGCCTTTTATCGGAACTTTTGGTTCCTTGGGAATAAAGTAGTCAACCTTAGCAACGAGTGGTAAAACGTCAACACTCGACAGTGATGCCGTTTTATATTATATTGTTTGTGTCCTGCTTGTTAACGTGAACCCTAGCGTGCCGAATAGTGTGACGTGCTGTGATTCGGCACAGAGTGCCGAGTTGATTATCCCTTGGATTTCAATGCTTATTGCAAATATTGTAAAGCAGTAACACAAACTGGCTTTTCCTTAACATGAAAAACTTCATTCCAACAAAAATTAAGACAATTTTAACACCAAAACCCAATAAGCAATAAACCTTCTTTAAAAACTCAGAAAAATTAAATGACATAACAAACACTTTCTCCGGCGTGAGCATGAATCATAAACTTGATCCAATTATAAAACCCACTTAATTTGTAACACGTTTTTATTTTCAATTTGGCAATAAAAACGATTTTATGATCAAACCATCCAGGAAAGCGCTACAAGACATCTTCTACTGCCATAATTTCTCATATAAGTTCAACACCCTGTCCGCATACAATCACGTCACATAACGAACAAACACCAAGATGCGTTTTATTATGGCATAGGATTCGTACGAACGAACAGCTGTTCATTCGGAGAAACAAATCTTCGCTGCAATGCAATTTTAAAGCGATTGTACCCTTTCCTCCCGTGGTGGTAGCATAAGTGTATGGACACGCAATAACATTGAAATCGATAAATTTAACGACGCAACGGAACAGCAGTGTTTACCAACAATGGAAAATGGAAACTGCTGGGGAAAAATCAATTACCCAACATTTATTTGTTTAAATTAGCTTCTTCCAATCAACCAGTATGCTGCCTATAAACGCACATCAGTCCCATATGGAAATTATATAGGCATTGAGAAAATGGCAGTTGAAGCTACGAAGTGCATTTTCCATGTAAATAATCGTAGTTAATTTATTGACAATTATTTCATGTTAAAATCAGTTCCAATAAAACTTGCATGTTGAGTTATATCAGCGAAAAATGTGGCAATTCAAAAAGCATAACTGTAACTTGACTTCTGGACGGTTGAATTTCAGGAAGGGACTGATAAGCGATTACTTTGCTTAATGGGACAAACTGACTTCCAATTGATAGTGGAATGGCGTTAATGCATATAGGACTGATATGCGATTATAGGCAGTATGCACCTTTCCACCTACAGTACCGGCTAAGGCATTTACGTAGTGGGTGGATTGAGTGTGTTGGTGTTCATACTAATGGAAATAGGTTTTCGATTTTATTTCTCTAATTACTTTTACACATCACGTCATGGAACGATCAAGGAGCGTACAAATGAGTCAAAGAAGAGTGAAAAGTAAATGGATTTGTCATTATGGAAAAGTATTGTACTTTTACGAACAGTATACGACATCGCACGCACGAGATTCACATGCAGATGAGAAATAACTTAATTGATTAAAATAGAAACAAACTACAAATCACTATCGCAATTTAAGAGTTATAAGATTGTCTCCATATCTGTCCTTATGATCCTTCATGGGGCGATATATTAAGTACGTCACGCTCTAGTGGTGAAGGGGTATTTAGAAATGGATTAAAAATGGTCGATGTATTGGGAAAACTATGCATCAAATGTGTTCCTGACAATTTATTGATCAAACTAGTAATTGATCGAAATTGATTCTAAATTAGGTCTTGATCATCTTCCCAAAATTTGAATTCATTTGGTTGCAACCTGCAACTGTACTGAATCGAAATGATAACTTTTTGTTCACCGCGTTCTTAAGCTTGCTGAAGACTATAATTTAATTGAACGTCAAGAAAATTAGTAGATACGTAATGTTGAAACTGTTTCTCACACTATGAAGTGAATTAATCCTGCACCGATCAAGCGTTATTCACTCTAAGCACACGCAACGATAGATGATTTCCTAATTAAGTAGGCTGCTGCACGCGTTCAAAAGAAAGCAAAAGTAAATGGCTTTCGTTTTCATTCTGTTCGCTGTCTACTTATGGATGTTGGTCAAGGCACCGCCAACCGAAGCAAAAACAATCGTTGTTCGAACAAAAACCATTCTTTCGCCGCTCAACGGAGTGCATTTCTAATGAACAACTAATTAACACCAAGTCGTTTTTCTTCTCTATTCTCCCACAGCCAATTTCCCATCAGTTGTATCATTTTCACAACCTCAATAGCCGTACTCATTCTCATTCTTACCACGAAGCCATGCGCATCCGTGGCCACTTCAAACGACCACGACCATGACGACAACGACGACCGGTACCTTATTCCGGTGCCGTTAATTAGTCCCAACCGGGCCGACCTACCGCGACCGATCGTGACCCCTCTGGACCCCAGCCAGGTGCAACCGAAGCGCATGAAGCTCAAGGTGTCGTCCAAACGACGCAAACATCAGCACAACAAAGCAGCCAACAGAACCACCTCCTCTTCGACGGCCATTAAAAACTCCCGACCAAAGCACAAACGGAAGCCAACGATGCAAAATGCACTGCAATCAGCCGTGCGGAAGGGACTGGAAGCTATGGTTGAGCTGTACGATAAGCGAGAACCGGACATGATCAGGAGAGGTTGGTTAAGGGGGTCTATTCGGAAGGATCGGTATATGACTGTAACTTTGTCTCATTTTAGGAGCTGTTCTAGACCCGGAAGATCCCGGTGCATTGTTGTCGAAGTTCAGTTCCTCGGATGATTTGCCGGAAAATATAACCCGATCTGCTTATGCTGCACTGGTAGCTGCCAAACAGCTTAAAGACAGGTAAGGCTAGGTTTAGATACACTGTGTTTCCCAGGATTGGCAAAGTTCAAACGGTACCACCTAGATGTTCTGCACAGTACCCACCGGTAGGCTTTAACTCAACAATAATCAACAGCAATCAGCAACGTAACCAGTAATGAAATCGATTCCAGAACATGCAACCAGGGTTACTTCCACTCACTTCGCTATAAAAAATGTTTATGGAATCATTGAAATAATGATATTTTGAACTTGTCATATACAAGTGGAACTTGCCATGCAGCGGCTACACGCCTTGATTTCTTCGATGCGGCTCTACGCCTGTCCCTGCTCTACGGCAGCGGAAAAATCTGTTTCTGCGTAACAGCAGCGGCTTTTGCCTAATTCTGCGGAACAGCAGCGGCTTCTTGCCTTTGAAATATTGGATAGTAAATCTGAGTTCTATATATTTAACAAAATTGATGTTGAATTGAATGCACCGTTGTACTTATTTGATAGTTTTTTTTTTAATCATACCTAACGAATACGGATTGTAGGTTCCACCTACTCGTCGCTAGATGTGGTACTCCAGAACAGGAACCAACTACTTATTTCACTTTCCGGAATCGGATTCACAGAGAAGAAAATAAACACGTCTTACTCTTCCAGATACATAATTTATTCTACTCAGCTTACGTATCTGAAGTCGTAGCCTACTACTAACTTACTGCTATAGATAGCACAGAAGGTATGCATTTGATACATAAAACCTGACAATTTCGCTTTAGTGCGTCACAATCAGCGAATTTATGACTCGTGAGCGATCACTCAGAGTGAGCGCTCACGAATCGTAAAATCACTGATTTTGACGCACTGAAAGAAATAATGACAGGTTTTATACATCAATCACCTCGTTTACAAACTTTTCTTGTAACTTACTAGTGCTAATTACCATTTTCGGTTCTAATCATTTCATAATTCCGCAAAGCAACTTTTTATAGCAAGTGAGTGAAAGCATCCCTGCATGCAACCAAGCACCTCCATCACAGAAATTGCTTTTGTATTGAAGCATTAGGTTGCAATAGCGTGGAAGCAACCCTGATTACCACAATCAGGGTTGATCCACTCACTTGCTATAAAAATGATTTTCTGAATTTTGAAATCTTTAGATGTTATAATGGTATTTTGCCCTTTTTCAGTCAGCGATTTTATGAATCGTGAGCGTTCACTCAAAGTGAGCGCTCGCAAGTCGTTAAATCGCTGATTGTGACTATCTGAAAGCGAATTTGACAGGTTTTATTTGTCAAAAACTTACCTTTCAACCTCTTCTTGTATCTAACAAGGACAAAATATCATTATAACATCTAATGATTTCGAAATTCAGAAAATAATTTTTTTATAGCAAGTGAGTGGAAGTAAGCCTGGTGGTAATGCATATTTTTCATGATAAAATACTTCAGCTTTACAAAATGTGCATTTCTCAATCATTCTAAACAATCAAATACATCTTTAAAAGACATTAAACTTGAAAAGTTGAACCACACTGCATGGTTACTTCCACTCACTTCGCTATAAAAAAATGTTTTTTGGAATTATGGAATCATTGGATGCTATTATGAAAGTTTGTACTTGTCAGAAACAAGAAAAGGTTGGAAGGTATGTATTTGACACATAAAACCTGTCAATTTCACTTTCAGTGCGTCACAATCGGTGAATTTATGACTCCCTCAGAGTGAGCGCTCACGAATCGTAAAATCGGTGATTGTGACGCACTGAAAGCAATAATGACAGCTTCTATGTGTCAAACACCTAGGTTACAACCTTATCTTGTGACTTACAACTACTAACTATCATAATAATATCTAATAATTTCATAATTCCGAAAAACAATTTTTTATAGTAAGTGAGTGGAAGCAAGCCTGCCACACAGTAATAATGGCCGGAATAAAAAAGTACAGTTTAGGGATTTGCGATATATCGAGTTATTCCGTTTATTTCGCTTCTAAACGGAATTCCGTCGAACATTTTGAGTTGAACTTTTCAATGTTAACGAAATGTAACGGAATTCGCGGAATATCGTTTATTTACAATATCCCTATCGAAAAACATTTCTGAAAAAGAAGAAGTTCATAGAAAATGTTGCTTCTCAATCTGATAGAGAAGCGGCGCTGGTGGAGTAGTGGTAAGCATGATTGCCTCTCACCTCAAAAGGCCTTGGTTCAATCCCAGTCGGCGCCGCCGGGAATTTCTGAGGTATACAATCTCTGATCAAGCCTTCCTTCGGAAGGGAAGTAAAGCCGTTGGTCTCTGTTTTATGAATTGATAGATCGATAGGTAGGGTTCAGGTATGGGAGCTGCCTCCCTGGCGTCGGTAGCATTGGTACTCAGTGCGGAAAACAAAATCTGGAAGATAGGGTGGAGAACTACTTCGGCCTAATCGCCCATTTTGGGCCTATCGAGCAGAAAATTTCAAATAAATCCATGATTTCAGAGTTAACAGCTTAATTATACGTTTGGTACGATACTTAAGTTAATAAGCTACAGAACGAAGTCAATTAAAACGCGTGATATAAAGGTTTGCACCCATTATTCTCAAAAACAAAAGAAGCGCTCCGACCGAAGCAATTTTTATCTTCATCGGATAGGCCGAAGTGAATTCATTGGCGTTTCAATGGCGTTTCAATGCGTTAGGCCGAGTTTAGAATCCGTAGGCCGAGTTTGGCGTCAAGAAGCAGTGTTAGACTTTTAACAATATCTCAACGATTGGTTTCTCTTTATCAAATCTTACGGTACATACGGAAAGGTAAATAAATTTGGAAGCCATCAGTAATAATAACATTCCGTTTGGTGCTAAACTACGCTAGATACAGAAGGACTAAGTGCGGGTTGTGCTTAATAGGCCGAAAATGGGGTAGTTTACCCTATATGGCCAACCGAGTGAAATTTTCCAACATATACCTATTGAATAGGACTATAGATTTTTATGGTGGGGTGAACTATGAGGTTATAGAATATGCAACATTATGGAGTCAGGTCAGAGTCGGTTGTATTTTTGAAGCACCTGGAGTCAATTCTTCTGGTAGAAACATCATTAATTCTAACTGTGAGTCCGGACGATACCGGAAATTCCTCTGACTGATTTTCCACGCCAATCGATTTTTACAACCGGCGTGGATTTCGCAATTTTCGCGGATTTATAGCGAATTTGAAAATCGCGAAAACATTAAATGATGTCACGAACATCTCAAAGGAACTTATGTGCTATCACGAAAATTGCAGAATTATTTTTTTATGATAATTGTACGTAGCCCCTCCACTTATCTAAGGGGCTACCCCCTATGACTTCCACATGCCAAATTTGGTTCCATTTGCTTGATTAGTTCTCGAGTTATGCAGAATATTCTATTTCATTTGTAAAGGGAGCCCCCATCATAACCATCATTTCCCTGCCCCAAAATCCCCTGCATACGAATTTTCACGCCGAAAGGTTCAGTAGTTTCCAAGTCTATGAGGGTCAGACATACATTCAGAAATTAATTTATATATATAGATAGATCTTCTTCTTCTTCTTCTTCGCATTTCAAGCTTATTGCATATCGCATATTAGCTTATTGCGTGCTCTCAACTTAGTGTTCTAGATGCACTTCCACAGTTATTAATTGAGAGCTTTCGATGCCTGTACCATTTTTGCATTGGTATAATTATGTGGCAAGTCCAATCATACTTCTATGCCCAGGGAAGTCGAGACATTTTCCAACCCGAAAAATTCCTAGACCGGACCGGGAATCGAACCCAGCCACCTCCAGCATGGTCTTGCTTTGTAGCTGCGCCTTTACCGGCTGAGCTAAGGGAGGCCCCATAGATAGATAGATTATGATATAAAGGAAAGTGATGGCAACATTCCAGTTTAAAATGGATTCTTCTAGTTTTTTGGACGCATCCAGCCAGAATTTCGATGTCAAATCGGGGAAAAATAGAAGGTTATTCCAAGAGTCGACGTGACTCTCCATTTCTTTTGCACAGAGAGTCACGTGACCACGACATGACTTTTCTCCCTGCACTTATAACGAAAGTTACTTCGACTCTCGGAATAACCCCCATTTACCTAATCTGATAGCTCATACAAGCTACTTTCAAATTCGTACCCAAAAAGCCACATTTAAAATACATTAAACACTACCGACATCTACTCATCCGATCGCGTCACACTATGAGCAAGAACACGAACCCACGTATAATTTGTATTGCCTTGGTTTGCGTCTTACCTCGTTTGACCGATCTGATCGTCCGTTTGAAAGTTCGAATCGCTAGTTTGACAATTCAAATTATGGACAAACGAAATGCTCCTGTGGCATGTCGGTTCGTCAGTGCTTTAACCACCGACAAACCAACATGAATGACCATAGCAAAAAAAATAAAATTTCGGACCAAATCACACTACTGACATCTGGCTCTGTGTTCGTGGGAAATATTTAGCTAAGCCATGAACCCGCATGCAAAAGTTATGAATTGGTTCGTGCCTGAGCTATTCTGGCCAAATTATTTTTATCTAGATCAAAAAATCTATGGTTTTGACAGTTCGGTCTTTCACGATTTTCGGGCATAAGTCAGAATTAAGTGTCATGTCGGTTCGTCGGTGCTTTAACTCCATGTCACTTAAGTGTGAGTTCAGAGTATTTTTTTTAAATAACTCTGTGTAAAATGCCAAATCACTTGTGAAGATGATCCCAGAATCCGTGAATGATACCAAGTAAATCGAATTTTTAGCGTACAATTTCAAAGATATTCTGATGATAATTTAATGAAAATTCCGAGGATAACTCCAAGGGCATCACGAAACGAATTTCTACAGAATTTTAAGAAAATTGATATTAAACAAAATTGCAGAAGAATTTAGAGGAGAAGTTGAAGATAATTCGGATCAAAATTTCATGAAAATTCTGAGGTAAATTGTTTGGGAATTCATAAGAGAATTAACACGAATTTTAAATAGAATTATAGCAGGAAACTTCAGCGAATTCCTAGAAAAAAAGCTTAAGACG